GCCCGGTCCCGCCCCGCAGCGCCAAGATGGCGGCGGCGCCGCGGCGCCGGTAGCGGCGGCTATGGAGGGAGAGGGCGGCTCGCTGGGCCCCGGCGAGCGCTGGGCGCCGGTGGGCGCCGTGTCCGCGGAGGAAGATGAGGATGAGGAGGACGAAGAGGCGGCGGCCGCGGGGGGAGAGTCGGCCGAGTCGCTGCCGCGGCTGCGGGCCGAGCGGCGGCGGCTGCACGGGGCGCTGCTGGCGCTCGCCTCGCACTTCGCTCAGGTGCAGTTCCGCCTGCGGCAGGTGGCCCGGGCCGGCCCGGCCGAGCAGCAGCGCCTGCTCCGCGACCTCGAGGACTTCGCCTTCCGCGGCTGCCCCGCGCCGCTGCCGCACGGCCTCGGCGCCGCTCCGGTGAGTGCCCGCGCCGCGCTGAGGGAGCCTTTGCCGCGGTCGGTGTGTGGGCTTCACCCCGCCTGAAGGCCATTAGCGGCGGCTGCGGTCCCTCAGTTGGCACAGAGCTCAGCGCCAGACGCGCACAGGCTCCTGGTGAGTCGCAGCCAGCTCGCAGGGATGTGCCCTAGAGCCCTGAGTGGTGTGTCACCGCTCCACGCCCTGGTACAGCACGGCTGACTCAGAGTCTGTGATATGTACGTGTTATTTGGCCTCTTTCTTCTTGGATCCCTGGCCTTGTGGGACAGGACATGGATGCAAGCGATCTGGAGAGGTGCTTCCCCTCTCTTATGAGATGAGGTGGTGTAGCTGGTACCTCTACTTGGTGCTCACATTTCTCTCTCAGACTGGTTTGCAGTGCTGGCTAGTGAAGTACATGAGCTGCAGGAGATACTCCTCACATCATAATCCTGTTGTCTGTGGCTTGGGTATGACAATAAGCCTTCGATTTTATTCACTGATAACTTTTTTTCAGGGTGAGCGAGAGAAGCAGGAGCAAATTGAGGTCCAGAAGGAGAAGCAGAGAGAGCTGATCCTGCAGCTCAAGACACAGCTGGATGACCTAGAGACCTTTGCTTACCAAGAGGGCAGCTATGATTCTCTGCCACAGTCTGTGGTTATGGAAAGGCAACGGGTAAGGCTCACAAATCCTCCTGCTGTATTTCCTAGCCCTTCTGAGTGTCTTACATACTGTAGGCACTCATCAGTCTGTATTTTTCACCAGCAGCTATAATAGAGTATCAGGAGTTTGTCTACACGTGTGAACCTGTCATGTGTCTTTTGCAATTATTTCTGTGCAGTAAAGGTATCCAGTTTCTTAGGGAACCTCTGGGAAAGGAGTACTTGAAGCTCCTGGGCAGCAGTGGCAGGTGGTGAAATTACACTGCTCATTTGTGTTTTGCAGATGATTATAAATGAGTTGATAAAGAAGCTGGACATGGACTTGAGTGAAGATTTTGCAAAGCTCTCTCCCGAGGAGCTGCGGCAGAGGGTGGATGCTGCCATAGCACAGATCGTGAACCCAGCCAGGGTGAAGGAGCAGCTGGTGGAACAGCTGAAGACCCAGATAAGGGACCTCGAAATGTTCATCAACTTCATTCAGGGTCAGTGATGAGTTTCTAAATGAGCAGACTGAATTCCTTTGTAATTCCCTGATGTAGTCACAAAGAGAAGGTCACAGATGTCGGGAGATGCAGGAACAGCTTCTGGGTCACATGAAAGTACAAATCTCTCTAAACTGATGGTGAGGAAAAGTACTGATAGAGTGACAAAAGAGGTCTACAGGGGACTGAGGAACGTTGACCTTGATACTTGGGATATGCAGCTGAAATTCACAAATGTGAAATCCTTTTTTGTAGATGAAGTTGGAAGCTCTGGCAAGGCAGAAGATGGCCACTGTGACTGTGGAGGCTCCTACAAACCCAGCACCCGGCCTTCTGGGAACAGAGGTGGGCACTGCTGGACTTGGCACTGTCAGCAAAGCTCCAGCTCCTCCCTGGAGCTTTGATGAGCATGAACCAGTCACTGTGTGCTTTTTCTTGGCAGCTGTTTTTGTGCTTTGGTACTTTCTCTGCTGAAGGCCTGTGTCCTGTTCCTTTACCCTCCTTCCACGGGACCCCCAGAGTAGTCACAGAGCCTGAGCATGTGGCATGGAGGGTGGGCTCAGTCCTCAGTGGGAGTCAGGAAGAGATAGATACTTGGTGCAAAACACACTCTAATTCATGCTCTTCAGGCTCTGAGCTCTGTGAGCAGGTACAGTGAGCTGGGAGGGGTCCAGTGTTCTTTAGAGTTTGAGACCTTCCTACTTATCCCTTGAATCTGCTGGAAATATAATAATGTAGCAGGAGGAATCTGCTGCTACTCAGAATGCTAATCTGAAGGGATTTCCAGATATTTGCACTCCCTTTGTGTGTATGAACAAGCAGAGTTGTTGGCTCCCTAATGAGATTATGTTTTTCTCTTTTCCAACCTGGTCAGTGAACCCAGAAGATGCCAGAAGGATGCAAGAAACGGGCCTGCAGCTCATGCGCCGCGTGCTGGCCGTGCTGCAGATCTTTGCTGTCAGCCAGTTTGGCTGTGCCACGGGTCAGATCCCTCGCACCCTCTGGCAGAACAACCAAGACAACCAGGACTTCTCCCCCTTGATAGAGAAGCTGGAGTTGTCGGTGGAGCGGGTGAGGCAGCTGGCCCTGAAACACCAGCAGGCAGAGCACGTTATCTGCTCCTCCGAGCTGCAGGACGTTCCCCTGGGAGGCAGAGACGAGCTGACTCTGGCTGTGCGCAGGGAGCTGACGGTGGCCCTGCGGGACCTGCTGGCCCACGGGCTCTACTCCTCTTCCCCAGGCATGAGCCTGGTGCTGGCCCCCATCGCGTGCTTGATCCCCGCCTTCACTCCCTCGCCGCAGACCATGCACCCCTGGGAGCTCTTTGTCAAGTATTACAACGCTAAGAACGGACGAGCCTTCGTGGAGTCCCCGGCTCGCAAGCTGTCGCAGTCCTTCGCCTTGCCTGTGACAGGAGCAGTGGTGGCCACCCCCAAGCAGAGCCTGCTGGCCGCCATCCACACGGTGCTGACGGAGCACGGCCCCTTCAAGCGCAGCGCGGACTCGGAGCTGAAGGCGCTGGTGTGCATGGCGCTGAACGAGCAGCGCCTGGTCTCGTGGCTCAACCTCATCTGCAAGTCCGGGGCTCTGGTTCAGTCCCACTACCAGCCCTGGAGCTACATGGCCAGCACCGGCTTCGAAGGCGCGCTCACCCTCCTCAGCCGCCTGAGCAGCTTGAAGTTCAACCTCCCGGTTGACCTGGCTGTTCGGCAGCTGAAGAACATCAAAGACGCGTTTTGATGTGTTTTTATTGCCCTTCATCCATTTTTCCACTGGTAGGCAGCTGCTGGGCTCGAGAAGCCTGGCTTTTGTAAGACCCAAGTTTGTCTCTTTGGTATTTGCTTTTAGGGAAATGTTAGGGTGTCGTGGTGTTGGCAGTGTGTTGTGTGATGCAGAGCGGCTGCAGGCCGGGCAGCAGCACCTCGCCCTGCCCACTCCTGCTGCTCTCGGGCCAAACTGCCCTGCCCAGTGTTCGGGGCTGGGGGGCAGAGACCTGGCCACGGGGCCTGCAGCTGGGGGAAGGCCCGTGGGATGTGCAGCTGAGCTCCCTGGTGGTTGTTTCTCACAGTCTCTGCTCTACCCCTTGCACACACACGATCCCTCGTGGAGGAGGGAGCTGGCAGGTGCGGGGGCTGCCCAGTCACAGGGACTTGAGCTCCCCCGGCAGGAGAACCGGAGGGCCGGGCCAGAGGTGCCCGGGGGCTCCTCCAGCGGCTCTGCAGTCTGTGTCCCTTGGGCTGCCGGGGCGCTTTGTCCAACGGACCCAACTCGTTGTTCCGGGCTTTGTGGGGGCTCAGCGCAGCCCGGCGTCCCGCGGGGTATATTAAATACCGCTGTACTACCTGTGTGCCGAGCCCGCCGCCGTCCCGTGTGCTCTGTCCGTTACCGGGGCTGTGACACTGCGCCTGCCGTGACCGGGGAGGGGGCGGGCGAGGCGGACACCGGCACCGCCGGGGCGGGGGTGGCTGAGGCTGACACGGGCACCGCTGTGCACGGGACCGGGGAGGGGGCGGGCGAGGCGGACACCGGGCACCGCCGTGCTCGGAGGGGGGGGATACCGGCACCGCTGCGACCGGGGAGGGGGCGGCTGAGGCGGACACGGCACCGCCGGAGTGGGGGGACGGGGGAAGCGGACCCGGCGCCGCCGTGCCCGCACGGGGGTGGCTGAGGCGGACACCGGCACCGGCAGCAGCTCCCGGCGGCGCGGCGGAAGTGACGCAGGCTGTGCGGGTAAAAGCCGGGCGCAGCCCTCCCTTTGCCTTCCGGCCCAGCGCCATCGCAGCGGAGCCTCGGTGAGTGCGGGCGGGCGCGGGATCCGCCGCCATCCGCGGGAGTGGCGGCCGGGGCGGGGGTGGCGGGCGCGCTCTGACTGCCGGCTGCTGTGTCCGCAGAGATGGGGAAGTTCATGAAGCCGGGGAAGGTGGTGCTGGTGCTGGCCGGCCGCTACTCGGGGCGCAAGGCCGTCATCGTGAAGGTGAGCGCGGGGCCGGGGCGAGCGGGAGCCGGCGGGGCGGCACGGCCGCGGCTCCTGTGGGTGCTGCGGGGCCGCGGCTCCTCGGTGCCATCGCCGCCGCCGCGGTGTTTGTTTCAGAACATCGACGATGGCACCTCGGACCGGCCGTACAGCCACGCCTTGGTGGCCGGCATCGACCGCTACCCGCGTAAGGTGACTGCTGCCATGGGCAAGAAAAAGATCGCTAAAAGGTCCAAGATCAAGTCCTTCGTGAAGGTTTACAACTACAACCACCTGATGCCCACCCGGTGAGTGCTGCTGGCTGGCTGCTTTCGTGGTTCTTGTGTTGTCTGCTGAACACCGAGAGTTACCAAGCTGTTAATGCTGTGGCTGAGTGAATGTGAGGCTCAGGCTCTGCAAAAACGGAGTTGGGTCTGAGGCTGAGTGGAAATATTAATGTGCTTTTGGGATGAGGCAGCTGGCTCTTATTTCAGCCACACTGATCTTCCTTTTGCTCAGGAGGTGAGCAGTTTGATAGCTGCGAGGGTCTGGAGCTGGCAGAGCCGTTTCTTACTGTGCTCAGAGCAGCTCCCAGGCACCACATGGAACAGAGCTGCATATCCCTCAGAAGGGGTATGGCTGTTCCCTTTGTAGGCTGAACTGAGACTGGTGGTTTGGTGATTCCTGAGCTGAGGAAACTTTACAAGCTGTAATTCCTTGTCTGGACACTAGAGTGAGTGTTGACTGATCCTGGCTGCGCTTGGTTTTCAGCCCTGTGCCAGGTACCATGCCCCTTGTGAACTGTTCTGCTCTCTCCCAGGTATTCTGTGGATATTCCCCTGGACAAGACAGTGGTCAATAAGGACGTGTTCAGGGATCCTGCTCTGAAACGCAAAGCAAGACGTGAAGCCAAGGTGAAATTTGAGGAGAGGTGAGTTGGGAATTCATCTCTTCAGTGGTGTTTGTGCTGTTACTGGTGTGAGGGGTCGGTGTCAGTGTGCTGCAGTCTGTGTGTTTCCAAGCTGGCAGTTCCACCCCAGCTTCTTTGCATGCATGTTTGTTGAGTGTGTTCCTTTCACCTGTGTGTGTGTCTGTGCACCATCATGCCAGCACCTTCCAGGTGCCACAGGATGATCTGACAAGATGCTGCCCGTTCATCCTCTCTTGTCACTGGGCTGGGTGGGCCAGGGCAGTGCTGATGCTTTGTGTGGGAGTGCTTGGGTTTCTGCTCTTTATTTATGGTTTTGTGTTCAGAAGCTCCTTCAGAGGAAGGAGCTGTGTGGCCTCAGTGGGACACAGTGTCTCAGGCAGCCCCTGAGCTGTTCTCCAAAGGCATTTCCCCCTGCCACACGAGGTGTCCAGCAGGATGGCTGTGTCCTGTGCTTGTACCCGTTGGGGTGGAAACTGCCACAGTGCTGGTGTCTTTCATGAGAAATTTGAAACCTGGCACTTGCTTCCCTTGCAATTTCAATATTTAAAGTGGGTTTAGTTGTAGCTCAGGCCATAGAGACCAGGTGAATTACCTCTGTGTGAATTAGGTGCTACATTCTGTCTGTCTGGGACAGCTCAGCTACAGGTTTGCTGCTGTTACCTGCTAATACACCTCCTTTAACTTGTGTGTTCTCTTTCAGGTACAAAACTGGCAAGAATAAGTGGTTCTTCCAGAAGCTGCGATTCTAAGGGTGTAACGAGGTTGCATCAATAAATGTTTATTAAAAACCATGTATTTTTTGTTATTTAACAAACAAGCAGTGGCCTTTGTGGTGTGCTCGTGCTTGCTCTGTGTCTCTAAGAGCTGGGGAGGGAGCCGTTGCAGTCCAGGTGAGCATCAGTACGTGTGTGGAGCCTTGTGCAGGTGTCACCTCTGGCACTGCTCCAGGTGTGGCCAGGGCTGCGCTTCCCTTCTGCAGCTGCAGGGTGCTTGGCTCTTGCCACAGGGGAAATCTCTTATTCCCAAAACTAGGGTGATCCCTGTGAAAAAAAAATGGTGAGAGAGGGAAGGCAAATGGGTGATTCCGGGTTAAGGCTGAGTGTTGACTGGCCTGTGGGTGCTGGATTTCAGCTTCCCAAACGGAGCGGTGCTGGCCAGGTGGGGAGCAGGGGCTGGGTGTGGTTGTAAATCCGAGATTGAGGCAGGAAGAGTTTGTATTTAGTATCTGGTTCGTTCGGAAGAGTTTATTCCTGTATTTAGTAGCTGGAGCATTCCTGACAGGCCAGGTGGGTGCTCAGGGAAGGCGGGGCAGGGATGGAATCATGAGGTACCGGACGGGGCTGGGCGGGCCCGGCTTTCCGCCGCCCTCGGAGGGGCCGGGGCGGGGCGAGTTTGCGAAAACGAAAGCGAAAGGCGAGAGCGGACAGGGGCTTCTCGGTGGCACGGCCGGAGCAGGGAGAGCGGTGCCGGCACGGGCAGGGCTCCCCGCGGGACCGGGGCTCCGGGCCGTGCTGCCGCCAGCGCCGCGGGGATGGATTCGGAGGAGGTGAGGAAGAGCCGAGCCACGGGGACCGGCGGGCGGGGGGCGGCGCAGCGCGGCTGAGACCTCTTCTGTCTTTAGGAATCGTTCGTCCGGCTGCGGGACGACAGCCTGAAGAGCCCCGAGCAGCTCCGGCAGGAGATCGAGCGGTGCAAGGTGGGTCCGGCTGCTCCCGACAGGGGCTGGCCGGCCGCGTCCCGGCTGTCCGGGCTCAGCCCTGGCCGGGAGCCCGGGTGTCTTCTCTAGGACTACGAGCCAGAGGCAGCAGAGAGGAACAATCCCATGGAGAGGAGAGCCTGTTCTAGAGCCCAGGCTCATTCCCGCGGGCACAGCCTGTGCCGGGGCTGGGTGGCTGGTGGGGGTGGCTCAGTGTCGTCAGGGTCTTGCTGTCTGATGGTGCTTCTCACAGGAGCTTTACAGTGTGCTGGAGAAAGACTGTACAAAGCTACAAATGGCCAAGGAAGCTGCACAGCAAAGGACACAAGAGCTGAAGAAAGAAGGAGAATTTCATAAAATTTTAGAGCAACAACTGCCTTTAAACGGAGATGAAGAAAAAGCCCACCAGGTCAGTGTACAGTGGATGTGTCTTTGGTTTGGAAGGGTGGCAGAGGCTGCATGATGCAGGTCACTGCTCTGAGATCACTTGCTTAGGATCCAGTGGAGGTTTTATGGGAAACACAAGGCCTGTGCCAAGAAGTGAGGCAGTGCTGCAGTGAGGGGAGAGCTGTCCTCAAAGGAGAGGAACCAGGGCAGAGCTGCAGGCAGTCAAGAGCAGGAGAATGGGCTGGAGCTGTGTGCCCAAGAACACAGTTGTGCTCAGAACAGAAGTGTACTGCAGCCCCTCGTGTCCTGGTGTTCCCTACTTCCCACTCTTCCTTTCCTTCCAGATTTCTGCAATAAAGGAGGAGAACAACAAACTGAGGCAGGAGAAGCAGGTTCTGAAAAGTAAACTGGAAGAATTGAAGAAGAAGGTGCTCTGGAACGATCCTGTGATGGTAACAGAGTGTGTGTGGGCACTTGGGTCTGCTGGCAAGGGCACAAGTCTGGCTGGAGAAGCTGCAGGTGAATGCAGCTGGGCACTGTGTGATGACTGGAACAGCTCCTCTGCAAGGGCCAGGAGCTCTGGTCATGGCTTTGGGATTCCAGGCACAGTCAGACACTGGGAGAGACTCTGCTGAGGTTCTCCGGCTGTTTGTTTGAGCCATGAGTTTATTTCTAGTCAGTGGATCGGCAGGGACATGCCCTGTGCAGGGTCCAGTCTCCTCCAGGTGCTGTCTGTACTTGTACCTAGATACTGTCTGCCTTGCCAGAAAAGAAAATGATCTTTAAGGGACTCACAGCAAACAAGGAGGACATGAACAAGCTGATGCTCACCCCACTGATCCACTGCCCTCTGCCGGGGGGCTCAGCTCTCATCACCTTTGAGGAGGCAGAGGGTAAGTGTGAGAAGAGCACTGCTCTGGCCAGGTGTCCTCGATCATTTTGGGGCCTGTCCTGTGCCAGAGTTTGGCAGTGCCCCTCTCCCTGCCTTGTGTGGGGCTGTGCCCACCTCCCCAACACCTTGTGTGGGGCTGTGCCCCCTCCCCAGCACCTTTGCTGTGCCGTGTCCTGTCCTGGAAAGCTCTGGGAGTGGGCAGTCACTCCCCTGTGCTGGGGCTCTCCCTGCCCGCAGTGGCCCAGAGGATCATCGAGGTGAAGGAGCACACGGTGGAGCTGAGCTGTGGGGAGCTGGAGGAGCTCGACCAGTGCAGAGTGCGAGTGCAGGCAGTGCCAATGGACATCCTGCTGCCATCTGCCCTGGAGGTAAGGCCCCTGGGTCCCTATGCCATGGGGGTGTCCTGGGCATGCTGCTTCCCCTGTCTGAGCCTGCCTTGACCAGGGCACTGCTACCAGCCTGCTCCCCCGAGCTCTGGGGCCAGTCCTGCCCTGGCACTGACTGGCTGGTGCCAACCCACAGATCAGGCTGTCTCAGAGCAGCAGGAGCATCCTTGTGTCTGACTTGCCCAGCCTGGACATCTCCAAGGAGGCACTGCTGGACAAGCTGGAGCTCTTCTTCAGCAAGACGAAGAATGGGGGCAGTGAGGTGGAGAGCAGGGAGTTCCTGGAGGACTCTCACCAGGTGGTGCTGACCTTTGCACAGGATGGAGGTGTGTGGGGTGTGCTGAGCCTGGGTGGCTGGCAAGGTGTGGAGCAGCACAGCCTGCTCTGGGGGAAATCTCCTGAGAGCAGATGAAGCTGTGTTTGGGGAACAGGGAAGATGCAGAGAGCCCCAGGCTGTCCTGCCTCCCCCAAAACTGTGCTGGTGTGGGTGAACTGAGCAGTGAGCTGGGCAGTGTCAGCCTTGGTGCCTATGCCAGGGACAGAACCTCTCCTGGAGCTTACCTGGGACCTGGCAGCTCAGGGCTTTCCTCTCCATATGCAGTGGCAGAGCCGCTAATTGAAAGAGGCCATACCCAGGTGCCCATTGGGAAAGGGAAATACAAAATCAAAATATCACCATGCATGAGTGGAGACATCTTTAACCTGCAGGTAAGGGCAGGAACCCTGTGCAAGCAGCACCTGCCAGCCTGTGGAGGCAGCACAGGTTGGGGGGCTCCTGAAGCCCCTCTCCCTGCGCTACTCTGCCGCTCACCCCCTGCTCTGCCCAGCTCCAGCCCTCCCGCTGCCCCAGGACCGTCCTGCTCCTGGGCATCCCCGATGTGCTGAGTGTGGAGTCCATGAGAGACGCCCTGGAGATCCACTTCCAGAAGGCCAGCCGCGGCGGCGGGGAGGTGGATGCCCTCGCTTACGTCCCAGCGGGGCGGACAGGGGTGGCCGTGTTCGTGGAGGACACGGGCTAGTCCTGCCTAGCCACGGGCTAGTCCTGGCCAGCCCCGTCAGCTGAGGAGCTCCGTGCGTCCGTTGACCGGCGGGCACGGGGGAAATTAAAGTGTCTGTTGGGAGCAGCCGTCGTGTCTGTTGTGTTGGGGCCGGGCCGGGCCGGGCGCTCTCTGAGGGGCCGGGGCGAGGCCGGGCCCTTGCCCGCCGCTCTCTGAGGGACCGGGGCGAGGCTGGGCTCTCCCCCGCCGCTCTCTGCGGGGCCAGCTGAGGGACCGGGGCGAGGCTGGGCTCTTCCCCGCCGCTCTCTGAGGGACCGGGGCGAGGCCGGGCCCTTGCCCGCCGCTCTCTGCGGGGCCGGGCTGTGCCCTCCCGCGGGCCCAGGGCGGAGCGGCCCCGCTTTCGCTTTCGTTTCCTCGCGGAGGCCGGAGCGGGCGGTGAGGGCCCGGTGCGGTGAAGCGCGGCAGCCGCCGCCGGGGCTCCCGGGAGGCGCTGCCGGTGTGGCGGGGCTCGGGCAGCCGCCCCCGCGGGCATGGCGGGCCGCACGGTGCGGGTGCAGGGCTTCCCCGCCGAGCTGCCTCCCGACAGGGCGGCCGACAAGCTGACCATTCACTTCCTGCGCTCCCGCAACGGCGGCGGCGACATTGCCAACGTCCGGGTGCTGCCCGGCTCCCTGCCCTGCGCCCTCATCACCTTCGAGGCGCCGGAAGGTAACGCCCGCGGGACCCTCGGCGGCCTGGCCTGTCTCACCATCCCCAGCCTCCTCTGTCCTGTCCCACCATCCCCAGCCTCCTCTGTCCTGTCCCACCATCCCCAGCCCCCTCTGCCCTGTCCCACCATCCCCAGCCCCCTCTGTCCTGCCCCACCATCCCCAGCTCCCTCTGTCCTGCCCGGGGCGCTGCGGGTGTGGCGGGGCTCGGGCAGCCGCCCCCGCGGGCATGGCGGGCCGCACGGTGCGGGTGCAGGGCTTCCCCGCCGAGCTGCCTCCCGACAGGGCGGCCGACAAGCTGACCATTCACTTCCTGCGCTCCCGCAACGGCGGCGGCGACATTGCCAACGTCCGGGTGCTGCCCGGCTCCCTGCCCTGCGCCCTCATCACCTTCGAGGCGCCGGAAGGTAACGCCCGCGGGACCCAGCCTCCTCTGTCCTGTCCCACCATCCCCAGCCTCCTCTGTCCTGTCCCACCATCCCCAGCCTCCTCTGCCCTGTCCCACCATCCCCAGCCCCCTCTGCCCTGTCCCACCATCCCCAGCCCCCTCTGTCCTGCCCCACCATCCCCAGCTCCCTCTGTCCTGCCCCACCATCCCCAGCCCCCTTCTGCCCCATCCCACCATCCCCAGCCCTCTCTGCCCTGTCCCACCATCCCCAGCTCCCCTTTTCCCTGTCTCACCATCCTCAGCCTCACTTGTCCCTGTCCTGCTACCTCTTCTTCCA